GTTTAAATTGGCACCTTTTTTGCCCCCCCCCCCCCCCCGCAGCGTCCGTATTAACAGGGTTTGATTGTATCTGTAAAATATTCCAAGAAGTTATTCATCACAAATTGTTTTTATTGACGACAGTGTATATTTTACACATGTGCAGAAAAATGCATCATTCATACAGCATCTCTTGTGCGGATTACAAGAATGGGGACTACCCCTAGTCTGCTACACAGCCGTTTTTAGTGTCGTCACGCAACGCTCCTCCCCAGTGGGGAGGAGCGTTGCGTGACGACTACCCCAAGATATACAATGATCAAGTGCAGTCCAGGAATCATGGTTTGACACAGGCTGGAAAAAAAATTAAACTAATATTCTAAAAATACCAAATGAAACATCAAATAGGCCGTACAACTTTGTGAATTTCTTTTGGCAGAGAGATCGGCTCAATACCCCCTGTCAATAATTAAGTCATAGCGTGTAATTTTGCAGTTCTTCGAGCAGACTAATGTTGGCGTGTAGGCCTACCTTAATGCATTTGGGCAATTCGAAGTACTGCCCACAACATTTGATTTAGATTTCAATTACTTGACTTTTATGTGAGCATCAAGAAGTTTAAGGAGTTAATATTGACATGTGAAAAGTCTCAATAATTTTATGTGAAAGCATTAAAAAACCGGGCCACTGAAAGCGGAAGTTCAGCACTTAAATACTACTTGCGTGCTATTTTCTTAGGGCACTTACCATTAAGTAAGAAATGACCAGCTAGACCAATCCAGTTTAGGCGAGATTAGTTTGTTATACTACTAAGTCTTACTAGTGTGTACTGCAAAGCAACCATGTCTCCAGGCTCCTTTCCGACTCATCTCCTGGAGCGAGAGCAAGAGAGAGGAGAGGACCATGGGAACAAGGCTGTACACCAGAGATAGCAAAAGCTCCCCAAATTAGCCTGAGAAAACAGCCAACACTTTGCAACACCACCACTGACTTTGTTTAGTTGAAAATTTGCTTCAACCAATCAGAAGCAGTACCCAAATCTGGGTAGTGATGCGTGATCTGCCAGTATGGAACTGATTTCTGTGCTCGTTCCTCAGACGTCATTACGGAAACCAGTGCTGAAGTCACAAAATGTTGGCTGCTTTCTCATGCTCTGCTAAAATAGGCTTTTCTCATTTTCAAAAATGCTCGTTCCCGCAGTGTGACAGATGGTTTTGTCTTTTGATAAGTGTCCTTAGATTATACCATTTGTTTGACAACAAAAATTGTACCTCATGCTCAGGAAACAGATTTCTGCTTTCATTCATCAAAGGAATGCTTCTCAAGTTTTTAAACTATTTTGGGAAAGAAAAAGAAAAACTTAAGACATCAATGAACACAGGAAGGAAATGCTTTTGATCATTTAAAAGTAGCTCAGGAACACCATCAGGAAAAAATTAGAGTGTTTAATATAATTTTCATGAATGTTCAATGTAACGATTCTTGTTCATCTTTTGGTGTTCCAGCAAATATGTTATTTTATAACATGCAGAACATCAACAGTTTTCAGAAAACTTACATTTGACTCAAGCAATGTTCCTACCATCTGAAAAGAAAAAAAAAATGTCCTTTGTTAAAGGAAAAAACTTCAAAGCTTATGGAAGGTTAACATCTCAAAATTTACACCTAGTGAGTTTTTTTCAGCTATATTAATACATAAAAATGCTTAGAACTTGACAGTGAAGACAAGATAAAACTTCTGTTTAAGGAATCACTGTATCATACTCATACAAATGTACCCTTTCACCAGGCCAACAGCCAGCATGACCAGCAGCTCTGCCCCATATTATTAATCTTGACCATCAAGCAGCATGATGATAAAACACCACCATCATGTAGCCAAACTATTGAATGGAAAAATTAAAGTGCATGACAACATCAAAATGCACTCGGTTAATTTTATCGTAAATTTTTTTCTTTTAAAACTTTCATGGGCTAACATGCAGTTTCTGCAATCAATGGACTTCATAACAATATCATCATCCACAGAATTATTCTGCGTGGTGCATGATCTTTTAATCATAAGGCCTGACACAACAACAAAATACGAACACATTTTATAGCATCTTCAGGGTTCTTTAAAATAAATTATACTATTATCCTTGCATTAGGATAAAACAATTTTAAAAAGGTAAATTAAAAGCACATAAATTCAGTTTCAGTGAGCCAGACCCAGGTGGAACTTAGCCCAGTTTCAGTAGCTTTCTCTTGCTCGCCTTTATTATAATTAATTTGTTTTTTCCCCTGTTTTTTCTTCTTTTGCTGGGCATTTTCTGGCCTTTATCACAGTGACAAGAGATGTAAATGTTTCTTTAGGTAGTGTAACTAGTTTTACCATGAGAGTTTATGGTCAAGGTTACATGATTCCTTGCATTTTTCTCTGGCTTGTTTGACTGGATCATGCTCTTTCAGGCAAGAATTTGAGAGATCTCTCAAGTTAGGGGTCAACTTTTCAGTGCTCTAAAAACTTGACGACATCACTACGCTACATTAAAAGGGATGCAGTTCCATACTGGTGGTTATATGCAGTTGAGGTGTGAATCTGCTAAACAGTGAGCTGCACGTTGATATTATTAATATTAAGTGTGTATAGCAAAACACAATATCAATGTATGGTTCACTACATACCGTATAATTATTACACATTATTATCTCATTTCTATGCACCTGAAAACAGCTGAATGCTCTCTTAATCCACCACTGGAATGCTGCTCCACTTTAATTCTATTTTTAAAGATGTACCGGTAAGTAAAGAACAACATCAAACCAGTGAACTCTTTAAGTCCCAATATCCACAGATAAATTCTCCACACTGATCTCCACACAGTTCCTTTCAAAATGACCTTGTGTAATAAAGATTAAAATCCGTGTGCAGTGTAGTTACTTAATTTTAATTTGAAAATTGTAAAATTGATGCTGTTCACTGTTAAAAAGTTAATTTAATTAGCTCATGTGCTTGATTGCATACTTGCACATGCCACATGTCCTGGCGTGCAAGTAAGCAAAAAGTAAGTAATTCACATGAAACTAGTGGGTCCTAGTGACCTTTACCAAGAGTTTACTTTCTCATGAATTACTCACCGTTTGCTTACTTATGTGCCAGGTGCGCGCTGTCACATGCAGCATGCTTTCAACTATGCAATCAGGCATGTGAGCTAATTTAGCAAACTTTTTAACGGTATATGGTCTGGTACTCTGAAGAATGCAGCACCGTACTGCTGAAACATCAGTTAAAACTCTTTTGAACAGCACAGATTTTACAATTTTCTTTACAAAACAAGTTCAGAGAATTTGACAGAAGATCAAAACATTTCCCTTCAGCTGGTAAAATATCTATCGATGTCTCATAACCTTTGCTCTTGATTAAGTATGAATATTTGTTAGAAGAAAATTGACGTTGGTCACTCTTGGGACACAAAGAGTCAAGAGATAAATTATGCTCCTACAACCATGCTGATGATAATACTGTAAAATGTAGATTAGCTGGGACTGACCATCAGGAAAAAATTAGAGTGTTAAACATAATTTTCAAGGGTGTTCAATGTAGTGATTCATGTTCATTATTGGTGTTCCAGCAATGTTTCAAAACTTCAGATTGAGACTTGAAAAAAATTGAAGCCTCCGAGACGCGAAATCACCAGAAAACAAGACTTCGAGTCATTAATCACAAATGCTTCTGAGAATTTGAGATCAAGCCAAAATTTTCCGAGATCCATGTGTTTCAAAGAACCATTTTATACACCTAATATTATTTTGTCGAGCTTACCTCTGCCTCATGTCCTACACAGATCACAGTTCTCTGAAAAGAAACGAAATGGCATATGACAACCCAATCAAATGAATAAAAATACTACCTTGCAGGTCAACGTGTCAAGTAATCTTCTGTGTTAGTCAGCATTCATCCACATGTACCATCAGATAATAAGCGGAAAAGACCTCACTAGCACTCCTACAAGAGGCTTAAGGTTTTAACACTTTCATCATTTGATACACATAACTACAAGGAATTGACTGATGCATTATCTTTATTAATCGACTAGAATACGTATTTCTTGGAGTACTCAATCGATAAAAATAGGTAGCAATCGAGAGATTTTTATTGATTGATAACGGAAATCGGTGAAAATAGATAAACTATATTGCTGTGTCAAATCGATAATTTATTAATTTTTCATGATTTTATTGATTTATAACTGAAGTCCGCCATTGTTGTATTTTGGCATGAGTTAGATAGTACAGCTGAGAAAACACTTCCATGAATATCAACTGCTCAAAAAACATGAAAATGAGAAACGTGAAAACTATCACACACACGTTTCTCTCTAAAACTCTCCGTTTGGTACATAATAACAAAAACAGTTTGGTGTTATAATTACGAGAAATACAACCTTAGTAAACTGATTTCCTAGCCTGAATTTCAGACATCCCCTCGAGTTGAAGGGATGTCTGAAATTCATTCAAAGATTTCCCTGGATAGATTTTCACCATTTCCATTATCAATTGATAAAAATCACTTAATTGCTAACCATTTTCATTGGTTTTGATTTTTATCTATTGGCTACTCTGAGATTTAACTACATCTGCGACATCACTGATGTTATTTTGAAATGGCGGCAGGTCTAAATCGTGAAAAACTGGGCGCCTACAAACCAGAAGACGATTTTAAACCTGGTTTTGAAGAAAAGATAAGATTTTTCAGATTTTTTTAAAAGAATGTGTTAAAAAAGTGATAACTGTTTGATCCTTCGACTCTCAACTGCAACTCAATTGTCAACAAATTTACTGTTTGCATGAGATCAGTTTTCGGTAAAAATCAAGATTAATAAATCGATAAACGAAACGAGTGTGTCTTCGATTTCTACCGATTGATCGATACAATCGATATCAATCAAATCATATTTGCCGATTTTTATCGATTTATCGGTATATGGTAATTGAACTGAGTGGAGTGCAATTTGGTCTGAAATCATACGCGTGATTTCAAAATCGAACGAGCGCGCAGCGGGAGTTCGATTTGAAATCACAAGCATGATTTCAGACCAAAATTGCACGACACGAAGTTCAATTACCACTTTATTACATCCATTTTGAGATCGCAGAGTCTAGTCAGTACTAATATTTTTTTGATCGAGTAGCCGGTTTGTTAAAAAAGCCGAAACAAAAAGGCTTTTACATCTTATTTTGTATGCGAAACAGAAATAATGCGATATAGAACAAAAATGGTGCGATTTAAAACAGAAATGATGCGATTTAGAACATGAGTGACGCGATTTGGAACAGATGCGATTTAGAGCAAAAAATGGTGCGATTTAGGAATAAATCAGACTGCTGAGAGCCAATCAGATTGCACGGATAGACAGTGATTTCAAAGTGGATGTAATAAAACTCGGTACTGATTGTATCTATTGACTACTCCGGGCGTCTGCTTAACAGAGGTTATCAACAATATAGAAATCAGCCAAATACGCTTTATTTTAGTGCCCGCGTCCGCTGAATAGGGGTTCGTTATAAAGGGAAATATAACACGTTAATTTCGGGACCCGGCTTAGTGTCCGCTTAATTGGGGGTCCTCTTAACAGAGGTTTCACTGTAGTTTCCCGAGTTTAGACACATGGAAAACATGAAAACCAGTTTGCAATTTAGCTGTGACTCGAGATTGTGTGCTTTACACAAAAAGCTACAAATCGAACTTTTTTAAAAACCAAAAGAAACACTACCTCATGATCAATAAATAAAGAGGCAAATTTAAGCTTTCTGTCAGTTAAACCTCCCCATGTTGGCAAGTATAGTCACAGGTAACCCAGGCTCTGTGATAGTACCACAGTACGGTCCAGTAAAATTACAGAGTTTGTATGGGGTAAAAATACCATCCTAAAATTTCGAGGAAATACTAAATAAAGATCAATGAAACTTACTCTGCATTTAATTGTTGTTTTCCTTATTGCTCCAACGAAGTTTCGTGAAAATTTGCAGTAATTTGTTCAAATTCACTCTATATACAATAATAATATACAAGGTAGGAAACACGAGGTGCCATTTTCGCCGACATGATGCTCTCATTCAACACAACTTTTTCCACGAAATTCGAACTCCAACGGAAAATAAACATGCCAGGATCGTAGAAACAGGATAGCAGCAGATATAGAAACGAATGAAGCTTTCCCAGATAGAGAAACGAATCCCACAGACTTTGACAAACTCGAAGAATATAATCCAAGCACACCGAGAATACACCGTATTCACAAATGGCGGACACGCGGGAAAAAACTGGTGCCTAGTCATGAAAGCGAGGCGTTGGAGGATAAACAAAACTTGCAAACGAAGACTTTCAGTGAACTTGCAGAGTGTTTAGGACGGGTTCCACATAAAATAACTTTGTATGGACGTCTTTTTAAATACAAGGACGTGGGACGTCTTCTGCTTTTAATGTTTAGTACTAATTTGCTGTTTGCAATCAAAAGGGACGCGTATATCTTCAAGGAAACAGGATGATTTTGTAGGTTTCCGAAGCCGCCTCAGAAGCCTCGACAAGTGGGCGATGGCTGGAGAAAAGCGGCAAACTTCACACTG